AATAGTAAATTCAGGATAAAGTAATGGCATAATAGTAAATTCAGTTATAATATAAAGGTATAATGGCATAATGGTAAATACCTACACAAAGGGTATAATGGTAAATTCGACAAAAAAGTAACACCGTTAGTAGTAAAGTAATGGTGTTAACATCAAAGGGCGAATATGCACGCAGATATACAATACAAGGGGGTTTGACGCAATTTTTAAATTACGAGGGGAAAACGCGCAGATTTAGTATATTACAGGGGGGTTTGGTGCAATTTACCCGGATGAATAATGAATTAAAGTTGATGTAGTGTGTATGAATGATTGACTGATATTATTTGATTATATTAATAAGATTGGAGATAGTGAATGGGTTAAAGTTGAGTTAAAAAAATAGTTGGGGAAATAATCTTGTCTAATCAAGGGCTGCAGCCAAACATAATCATTAGCATCCCCCCTATATATTAATACAGAATGCGCTGAGCCTACGTGACTGCTTCTGGTGCTTCGGAATCCTATGTGGCAAAATTACATGCTTCGTTATTAGTCTTGGATAAATTTTAATTTAATTCCAAACAAAAAATAATTAGGTTAGGATTACCATAAATATGTTGATTATTTATGGTCATGTTACATGTATTAATTGTATCTTAATATCAATCCTTATTATAACTATTGAACTGTATATATATTTTAAAAGTTAATAATTTTTGTATTTTTTATCAGTTTTACATATGTAATATATCAAATTAATCTTCTTTTGATGAGCTTCGATTTAACATCCATATTGTATATATAAAAAAAATAATTTATATTTATCTTTATAACAATAATAAAATTATTTTTAATATTAATTAGAAAAATAAAATTATTTTATCAACTAATATATTTATATTTCAAGTAGTTATATGATATAAGTTATAAAATTAATATAATATAACACATGTAAGTCATAAGTAACACATATCATTCTAAAAGATATAGTAATATATTTTTTTTGTAAAAAAGTAAACTAATTAATATAGTTTTCTCATTAATTTTAAAATTTAAGAATAATTCTTTAACAAGCAGCCGTGTAATACACGAGTGGTGTACTAGTTAGCTTTTATATAAAATGTAACCGTATAAGATTTGCATGACATAGACACCAAAAATCAACTTGCCAAATCTCATATGCACAAACTCTCTCTCTCTCTCACACACACACACACACACAAACACACACACTTTTTACACCTGACATTCCTATAAAAGCAATTAATCTACCTGCGTAAATTCAAGTGCATTGGCATCAGGATCTCGAGTAAAGATTGCTGGCCTACCCGAGCGACTGAGGGTGTACGGAATGCCTTTATATTGCCAGCAAGAGGGAAAAATAGTTACACAAAGTCGCAGGAAAGGGGAGAAACATAAAACCACAGTGAGAATTTTGAACATAAGTCTATGACCGGCTAATTGGATAACATTGTAAAACCAAATACCAGCTTTATCGAAGATGCCTTTTAGTTTCGACACGTCACGAATGGCTATGCAAGCATGACGATCTCGACCACCGTGTTCTGGGCGTTCGGTCAACGGGTCAGGATTTGGAAGCTCCATCAAGTGTATCATCTCAGAGCCTACCCACAACCAAGCACCCCTATAAGGGAGCTTATCATGTGGTCGTGCCTCATTTATAGATAGACCTGATTTTCAGTACAAGTACAGAACAAAAAGAGGAGTTAGCCACGTGCTTGCTGTCAGCTGGCAAATGCGAGTCGTCTTAAAGAGTGTTTGAAGCAGCATATGTTTATTACCGAGAATATTCTGGTAGAAGTGTAATGACCGCTCGAGATTCTCGCACAAGATCCCAACATGGTGAACACCAACAACTCCGAAATCTTCAAGAACACAACCACATTTGTCAAAATTATGTTAAAAGCTTAATCATCAACATCAACATCAACATACCCATCAACATACCCAGTATATTCCCAATGGGGGGTCAGTTGTACGCAGACCTTACCCTTGTAATTATACAAGGAGACTGTTTCCATAGCGACCCAAGGTGCGTTGCGTCGTTTGATATATTTTTTCTAGAAACTTCACTAATAGATGAAGCACTAGAATTTAATTGAGTCATTTTGATCTAGTCCATTATTTGCACGATGCCAGAAGAATTGTCAACATTGACTCTTCCAGCTCCATTTGCAATGGACTATGTTAAAAGCTTAATCATACAGAGAAATTAATGGCATGAATGGAATCACCAATGTAACATTAAGAAGGGGAAAAAAAAAGGTTTCAAATCTTGAAAAGTAATGGCTTTGAATTTAAGAGAAAACAAACTTAGAGAAATTTACAACTGAAAGTCTGTTAATAGTTTCCTCAGTATTTTCTTTTTCCTAGACACGAAAAGGAAAAGGAAAAGGAAATAAGACAAAATGGATTGTGTTAACCCATGTTGTAATGAAGATACAAAATAGCGGCATCTATCATGTGATTGATTCACAAAAATGAGAATAACACAACAGTTTCTCCCTTCGGCCAGAGTAACAAATGAGATAAGTAACACCAAATTAATTCAATTATTACCTGCATTGTTCTCAACATTAGCAATTCTATAAAGATCGTTACCATGTCAACACACAACAGAACTTTTAAGAATAGGCCTGTTGAAATGTGAAGAACATTCAAATTGTAGAAACATGACAAAATAATTACCATCCTTGCTGTCAACTGCCTCAACATTCATTGAATCCTTATTGAGCACGTCTGTCTGCAAAGATTCTTCGTTTTTTATTGTTGAATATCGTGTACTCTGCCCGATTTTCCTAAAACGTGTACAATCTCTCATTGACAGTGTTCCTATTGAAGCAACTCTGACCTTTCCATTATTAACCTAGGTAACGAAGGTCGAATAAGTTATCGTGTATTTGATAAAGTGTGTATTTGATAAAGTAACTAAGGGCTTGGGAGCAGATGCAACAGTGTGTACACCTGTACGTTCCCTTGAGCTACTCAGTATATCTACAGAAAAGACTAGCCATTGCTATAATTTTGTTCGTACAACCTTGCCACAGAAGGAATTCATTTAAGGTAAAAGCTGGAATGTGAGGAGTTGTTTAGCCAACTCAAGATAAAATGAAACAAAAAATAAAGCTATCGAACTTGAGCCGTGTTTTTTTTTTTTTTTTATTTCCTAAAAAAAATAACAGAGGGATTCCGTATTAGATTTCTAGACAGTGCGCTATAGCACTCTGCTGGTATCAACCTGTTAGTATAACTACATTAGGAAAGCCTATCATGTCCATATGACGGCAAAACATACAATGAGTGTCTTTCATGCTGAAAACAGAAATCGTGTTCCATCAAACGTCCTTGTGTGAATGGAACAGAAGCTTGCAAGTTAAATTAAAGTTCAAGAACAAAGAGGATACGATGATTGTAAGTGGTAGAAATACTCTACTTCTACTAAATTCCAATTCTTTTCATCTGAAGTGAAGTTCCACTCTACAAATCTCAATAAAATTTCACACATTCAATCATCCATTTCATTCAGAAAGGAGTTACCATGTTGAACTCAATACAAAATTCCACTTAGTCTTAAGAAATTATCTACATATTTTATGTTTTTCAATTCAAATCTTGAGGAAATTTATATTTCATTGGCTCCAAAAGTCACTTTAAACCTCAGAATCGGCATCCTCTTTCCTGTTCACAAGGGATACTTTACACCAAGTCAAGTACATGAGCTCTGGGGCTACAGATAAACAAGAATTAAACAAATTATCATTCACGACAAATCAGAAATTTATTGAAAAACCCAGTTCGATTTGGCACAAAACCATCAAATCAAGGATAATAGCTATTCAGGATTAAGAATATATAATCCGATAAACGGCACGCATAATATGCATATGTATGCATGAGCTTGGTTGGAGAAATAGCTTGTGTTACCTTGATAATTGGTGCCAAATTCAGAAGCGGGCTCAGAACAGACGCCATATCCTGGAGCTTGCACTGTGAATACTTTAACATATTTTCATTTTCCTGCGCGAGATTTATATTTATGACTGGATAGAAATCATGGTTGAAAGCTGAAAATGCCACCTGACGCCAGAAACTAGTTCGCGGCTAAGGACCTTCGGTGGCACAGCACCACAAATTTTTTTTTTTGCTAATTCCAAGTCATTCTCTATAAATATGTAAAAGTGTTTATGGATGTAAAAAAATAGGGTCGGATCGGGTCGGGTTGGGTCAGGTCCTGCGCGCGTTTTGGCAAACCCGAGCCCAACTCGCTATGCATTTATTGGCTTTTGGGTTCGGGATGATTTTGCCCCGGCTAATCGTGAAAAAAATGGGTAGTCCAGTTTCACCAAAGGGGGACATGACGAGATAATTACACCTACCATGATTCCACGGGCATTTAGGTGATATTTGTTTATGGAAATAATGACAACCTCTATCTTTATATTTAAATATTTTACATTCATACAGTTGCTTATTATTTAGACAAAATTACTCATTTTTTTTACATGTATAACTTTTACATGGACGCACATAGCTTTTTTTTACGGTTTTTTATTCTTGTTTAACCTCATTCTTATCTTCTCACTTCTCTCTCTCTCTCTCTCCACACGATAAACCATGCCCCACCATCATCTCTCTTTTTTTTTTCTCTCTCTCTCTCCTTTTTTTTTTATAAACCAGATAACCACCCACAAATTCTCAAAGTCTCTCAATTTTTTTGAGATAGGATAAATCTTAAGAGATGTTTCGAGAATCGAGCAACACGTGGCGACTTTCTTTGTGGCGCCAAAGATGAAGAAATCAAGCCATAGATTTGGAGAAAACACAATGTATCGCTGCCATGATCATTGTTCATTTTTACTCCCTGCTGCCGATGGAGTAACCGGCCTCAAATCCCCTATTCCCGAAATTGGCGGCCTGTCGTCAATGCCGAAAATTAACGCTTCATTACTACAGAAAAGAAACGATTCGCTACTACTGAGCTCAAGCTCATCTCCAATTTCATATCCTCTTTTCGTACAAATCATGAAATACAGATGTAGGCCGTGTAATGAATTTGTTCGTATGTGTTATTGCAAGCACCTACGGTATATGGGAATGGAGTTTGGTATTTTTTAATATTATGATTTTATTTGTTTGATTATTTATGTTTGTGAATTACTCATTAATTACATTGGGGAAAAGGTTTCATTCTATTTAGAAAATTTGATTGAACTTTGTTTATTCTTTTGTTTTAATACTTTGTTATTAAATAGTGTGTTTTGATCATATTTTAGAAAATATTTTGTTTTGTTTATTCTCTGGGCTCAATAACTGCGCCGGTTATGAATTTTTGCCAATGCGCAGGTTACCGAGTTTGTGGAGCCCGCTTTAATGTTGTTTTTACGTTATTTTTGTGTTGCTTTTAGGTTATTTTTATGTTGCTTGAAAATGTTATATATAACCAATTGACTAATCTTTTTTTTTTTTTTTTGTGTGTGTATATATATAACCAAATGACTAATCTTTTAGTTTATTTTTGTGTGTATATATATAAACAATTGACTAATCTTTTTTTTTTTCTTTTTTCTTTTTGTGTTTAGAAATTCATATGTGAAGAAGAAGAAGAAGAAGAAGACGAAGAAGAAGAAGTAAACGAAAGAAGAGAGAAGGAGGAGAAAAATAGGAAGAGAGAGAAAAAACAATTTATTAACAACAGTTGTTCTTTTTAATTGGTTACCTTTTTTAATAAAAATGTTTGGTACGAATTCGGGTAACTTTGGAATTGTAGAGGAGTGCTGTTTTTATAAAATATTTTTATAATACATGGTTAGTTATGTATTTTTCCCTTGTTTATGAGATTTTTGCCTCAAAAATCCAGCCCAAATTTTGCTTACCAAATGGGCCTGAAAAAAACAGAACGACTGTCAGCTTTGTCCTACCCTTGTCTGCCACTATGATGAGCCCAATGTTATTATTATATTTTTTTTATTCCCAATAATTTTTTTGCAGTTTTTCTTTGGAGAATCTATTGCATGCCTTCGCGGGAAAATATCAAATAGGGGTCCGTATTTTTTATTACTGATTAATAAACATATTAATAATGCATTTTTTATTATTCTAATTTATTAACATATTTAAAATAATAAATAAATTTGTGTAATGTATTTTTTATGCTAAACAATTTGTGCTTTTTATTTATTGATGTATTATAATTTTTTTTTGCAATTTATTAATATTAAAATGATACCATATGAATAAAAATTTAACACATCTCATTTTTCTACTATTCATCCGTGAACTAAAGGTTCTCTAATTAAATGCTCGGACAACCGAAATACTCGACAAATGTCTCGCATGACATCGTGCCTAAATGATCTACACGTCCCGACTCGATTCTCGATAAACCGAGGTCACACGCGACCTTGCGGGTCCCACGTAAACGACTTTTCTGTAATTATTTTGACTAATATATATTGCACCCTTAACTCGAGCCTCTCAATATCAATGCTCGGGGCCTCGGAATAATAAATAAACCCCACGAACAGCCTATCCTTTTCTCGTGCTTTCTAGAATGCACTCCCGCTAATGCTCGACTCGCTTAACGAGGGCCGACGGGGTTGTTTAATACAGCTCATTTTTCTACTATTCACCCGTGAACTCAATCTTCTCTAATTAAATGCTCGGACCTCCGAAATACGCGATAAATGTCCCGCATGACATCGTGCCTGAATGATCTACACGTCCCAACTCGATTCTCGGTAAACCGAAGTTACACGCGACCTTG